CTTCAGCGTGGTGTGGCTGTGAAAGGACTTGTGCAGCTGCAGCACACGCAGCCCCAGCGCAGGCAGGCGGGCCAGGACAGACACCTGCGGGCAGCACGGAGACCTGAGCCAGCCCCTCTGCAGGAGGGCAGCCGGCACGTGGGGACCTGCTGGCTGTCGGCAGGGCAAAGACCCCCCAGCTCAGTGCTTCTGGGGCCTCTGCTGAGGGAGGACGTGCATGGGGGCCTGGGGGTTCGCGAGCAGTGTGGGGTTCTGGGGACATTTGTTGCCACAGAGGAGGGCTCACGGGGTGTCCCTGCCATGGGGACAGTCTGCGAGGATGGCAGGCTGGCACGCATGGGCTGTGCAGGCTGAGGATGGGGGCGGGCAGTGGCACTGGGGCACCCCATACCTGGTAGACGTCCGGCACCGTGTCGGTGGCGGAGCCCCAGTGCACACTGAGCTGGGAAGGCAGGGGCTGCCCCTCCTCGGAGAGCACACGCACATGCGGGGAGTCCACCAGCACCGGCAAGACACTCAGGCGCTCCTGCTCCAGCGGGTTGAACACCACCAGGAACCTGCGGGTGGGGTCACACAGGGATGACCACCCCAGCCCCATGGCATCCCAGGTGCCCCACACCACCCATGGGTCTCGTGCACCCACCCACTGCTTTACAGAGTCCCAGGTACCGCCCTCACTGCCCCCCCATGGCCCCACAAGCCCCAAAAGCAAGGCAGGCAGCCCCTACCGGGGTGAGGTGTCCAGTTTTACAACTGTTCTCTCTGGGAGGGAGTCCTGGTTGGGGCGCGTGTCGTCCTGGGGAGAGGAGCAGTCAGAGCCAGGGTGTGCCCACCACCCCTGCCAGCCAGGCCCAGGGACACAGGCACAGGCTGGGACCCTTTCCCCAGGCCCCCACCCAGCACTGAGCGGGCAGGCAGGGCTGTGCTTCCTGGAGGCACGGGGACAGCTGCCCCAGCATGACCCCGTGTGCTGGGGCATGGGGAGCCGTGGGGCAGGGTGCTGCTCACCGTGCCGAGGAAGGGTGCAGTGGGGTTGTGGTGGTAGGCTTCCTTGTCCCCCAGCACGAGGTAATGCGCAGCATTGATGATGACGCGCTTGAGGTTTGTGAGAGAGCGGAGCAGCCTGAGGCACAGGCAGGGTGAGCCAGCTGGGACTGTCCCCCTGCTGTCCCAGCGCGTCCACCCAACACTCCCCACCTCCCCCCGGAGGAGGGGCCCCACAGGACCCCCACACCCAACCACGCTCCCAGCCCCGTACCCACCAGCCCCCGCCCGCG